AGATGAATATGAAAAAAAACGTGCTGCACACTTTCCTCTCAATAATAAAAAAGAAACACTCAAACAACAATTACAGGGGTGAGAAAACAGTCACATCTTAAACATATTCGCCACGAACCAAGGGAGTTTAAAGCAAGTGGTTTCAAACTCCTGAAACAAACTCCAAACAAACTTTGTTTTGGCCTGATTTTGTTTGAAATGATGTCACTAATTCCCTTTAACAGTTCTCAGAGTTGTCAGTCTGCTGTAAAGTCAGTGTTTTGCAGACAGATTCAGTGCTCACAGTATCTCACCTGATCATCACTGGACCGTCTCTCGTCTCCTGCTCATAAAACACCATCTCCTCAATTAGAAAACAATTACATACATTAACATATTTCTAAAGATTATTTTTGCATAATAAATCTCATATTTACATGTTATACAATAAGCTGTATGTTATACTTGCCATTTTGTTTTGCTTGTCTATTTCTCCAGTAGTGATAGTAAATCACAGCAGCGACTGCTACAGTCACAAACAGAAGAACAACAGCAGCACTTATTCCTGCTATAACAGCTGAAGATGAAACTGAATCTGGAACAGATGAAGACACACAGTCATTAATAATAGAGATCAACTGGTAATTGGTTTTACCAATACTGGTGACTGATAATTACATTTATTTACAGTGTGAAAGTTTCATGATATTGATTTAAAGGGGTGGTATAATGCCCTTTTGACAATAAGTAAAATAAATCTCTGATGGCCCCAGAGTGTGATTGTGAAGTTTTAACTCAAAATACCCCACAGATATTGTTATATAACACATTAAAAAGCTCTTGTGTGTCTTCAAGTGTGTTTGTAGCTTCGATTACCTCACACAGACATGCACTGAAAATTTCAAAAACTTTTAGCCTTTTATGTTCAAACCGAAGTCAGAAATATGGAGAGACTCAAGAAGAAGTGAAAACATTTCTTAATGGTTATTTGATGAATGTATGTAGCTTACGTGTAGTTATCTTCTAGTCACTGATAGGCATATTCTGTCATGATAATATATAAATCGCGTTCCCGGGGCGGGGTTTATGTTCATTTCAGGGTTGGTGATGTCACTAACCCAGGAGGAAGCTTGTGTAGTCCCAACCAGCCGTTTAATGTAATCCTTAAAAAGCAATTTCTTTAAAAGAAAAATATCTCCCTTTGCTTTGAACTTCGAGCATCATAACTTTGCAGTTGTTGTTTACGCTCAAACAGCAACATAACACACTGACTAAAGTTAGTGTCAATCATGTCAATGAAGTGAAATCATAATCAACCACCCTTTTAACTTGTAATTGCACCATCTGTGTTTTTGAGGAGCATCAGTTAAAACAGCATCAGCTCTGTGAGCTCAACAGAAAACACTGTTCACAGGAAAACTCACTGATATTATGCACTTTTGTTATTAACAATAGACTTCAAAGTTATGAGTCTGCTTTGAAGATGATAGAGAGGATCTAAATTATATTTTAATATTGAGTCAGAAAGCTCACTTTTTCAAACAGGCCACAATGAAAACAAGTACTGGGTTTATAAAAATGCTCAATGGAAAATGTACTTAATGACTTAATGAGACTCACCCGTGACAGAAACACTGAAGATCTTTATGATGTCGCTGCTGCCACTCCTGATCAGTAGTGTATATTCTCCAGAGTCTGTGTTTCTGGTGTTTGTGATGGTCAGAGATCCAGTCTGATGATCCAGCTTCAGTCTGTCTCTGAATCTCTCTTCACACTGAACATCTGTACAGATCTGACTCTGATCTCCGGTGATTTCAGCGATGAGAGTGTCATTAAAATACCACGACATCACATCATTTGTGTTTTTTATTACACCAGTATATAAAGTGACAGATTCTCCCTCCTTTTTCTTCACTTTATCTCGTTCAGCAGCAGAAAGTCCTGAAATACAAACCAACAGATGCTGAGAGGATCTTGTTTTGAGGGACAGACACACGACATGACTTTCAGTCTGAAAAGCAACATTTATTCATGTTTTGTCCATATAAACATATTTTACATCTAGTCCTCTCCTGGTGAAAAAAAAAGAAAAAGTCTTGAGCATGAAATAATAAAAGCAGCTTACTTTAAAAGATGACCAGAGATGATATGATGAGAAACTGTCAATCACGTTTACCAGAACAAAACCAAGTGTCAAAACAAACAAACAATGGAAAAACTAACCAGTTTAAATCATTATTTAAAATATGTAAATCTACAAATTTCACTTTATCAGTAAATGTGTTTTGAAGAAATTATCTTTATACTGCATGTGAATTAATATACAGGTAAAGAGAAAAAAAATGCTTCTGAATGCCACAGCAAAAGTATCACTAAACACATTAATGATGTGATTTAAATGTACAAGACTTGCTTTTAAACACTCACCAGTGACAGAAACACTGAAGATCTTTTCACTGTCGCTGCTTCCTCTGCTGATCTTCAGTTTATAAACTCCAGCATCTGTGTTTGTGGTGTGTGTGATGGTCAGAGATCCAGTCTGATGATCCAGCTTCAGTCTGTCTCTGAATCTCTCAGTGCCTTCATTACAGTGAACATCTGTACAGATCTTACTCTGATCTCTATTGATTTGAGCGATGCGAATGTCATTATAATACCATCTAATTCTGTCTTGCTGGTTTGTTTGAACACCAGTGTTTAGAGTGACTGAATCTCCCTCCATCACTGACACTCTGACTGGATCAACACCAGAAGCTCCTAAAGAAGAAATCAACAGTTCATTATGAGCAAAACAACATTAAACAACATGAAAGTACTGTAAAAAAAAAAAAAAAAAAAAAAAAAAAAATTATATCTGGATACATAATCTAACATGCAAACAAACAGCAGAAGAACATCATTGATTTACAGCCCCTGTTCTTGGAGATCAACCTTCCTGCAGAGTTCAGATCCAATCCTGGTCAAAAACTCCTGTCTGTAATTATCAAGAGCTCCTGAAGATCGTAAAGGTGCTGTATGTAACTTTTTCACTCTAATAAAGCATACAAATATCATAATATGTTTTCAGATATTTAGGAAACACTGTTCACATAGTTGTTTCTCCAAAAAACACGTCTACAGCCAGTTATTTTACTTATTATTTTACACGTTCCGTGTTGTCAGTCGGTTTTTGTTTTGGTCTGAGTGATCTCGCTCACTGCCAGTTCACCCAATAGTACTTTGACACCCCGGGATGCCATCATATTGCAGCCAGCAAACAAACTGGGTCAGAGATTGCAAATTCCACACAACCTAAAACGCCTCGGTATCATTTATGAAAGAGAGTATATTAAAACGCGGATAGATCAACTCATTTACTTACAGTGTGTAAAAATCCTCGGCAACTAATTGCGCTCGTTCCTGTTGCGTCTCCCGAGTCTGAGGAGGAGGGGGCGGATCCTGTCATTCTTACAGACAGCACCTTTAGTTTTCTGCTTCACACACCTGTGGCGTTTCCCATGCAGAAGTCTTTATTGTCCAGAAACCTGACGCACGTGTAAATTCTCCTCCCCCTTCACAACTGTCACAATAATTTTAATTTATGCTTTACCTTTGCAGTTTTAATAAACCACACAACAGGGCATCTTGCTTTATTATTAATTATTATTAATTTCTTAAATAACCGAAATTCAGCAACGAAAGGACAGATCCTCTGAGTGCAGCTGATGACGCTGTGAAGTTTGAGTGATCAATAATATTCCATATAAGATGTTCCTCTGTCTTCATTTTCTTCCCTCACATCCCAAAACAGGAGGAGCTGAGACACGAGGAAAGGAAGCGAGGACACACAAATAAGAAATATGAAGCACTAATGACTTCTAAACTGTGCTGGTACCCAGCATGCACTGCAGTATGAAGCTTTTCATTTCATGTCATCATTGCTGAGATCCATACGCTGATACTTGATGTCTGAATGCCACTCCCTGAAATGAGCTTTTACAAGGTGGGATTTCTGCAAGCCTAAATGTCTTACAATGATCAAGTAAAAACACACACTGCAAAATACAGATGATAAATGCATTTCTGTCAAATAGCAATTCAATTAGATAAGAGAGACAATAACATAAGCTTAATGTCTTACCATGGTTGATTAAACACAAGAGCAATAAAGGCAATATAAAAAGAAGCTTCATTTCGCCCACTTTTCCTTTAAAATATTACTGCATCTTTTGATACACAACAGCGCTGTGCTCCTCCTCTGCATCACGTCGACGCCAAAGAGAAAGTAATATTTTGGGATGCTCACTAGTCCACTGTAGCGCGATGACGTAATGACGATTCGTCACGTTCACCCTCTGACGCGTACATCACATAATTGTTGCAAATAATATGATTTTGTAGGGTTTACGGTGTTTTATTTTATTTGTGAAACGCAGCCCTCGATTGTGTCCCCGCGCCCTCAAACGTGTCTAAAACCATAACAATATGTCCACATTGTTTTTAATCACAAGCACATTTCACTTCCATTTTCAGCAATAATAAGGAATTACAAATTACGTTGATCGAAAGAGAGATAAACAATTGTCTGTCCGAGTAGATTAAAGAGAACCATTTTCACCACTTTTTTCCTCAGACAAATAGGAGGACACGCTGTTCTTGAAAGTAGGCTAAGTAGCCTGGAACCTTCCTATAAGAGTTGTAGCGTGAAATACACAACAAACGTGATCTGTTTGTAAAAATTTAGGCTATATTTTGTAGGCTAAATAGGCCAATTTATATGACCATGCCCCGCTTCATTTACCAATGACGGAAATAAGCCGCAGCTAAGATCACAAAATACAGCGTATGTGAGAGCATTATTGTGACTACTTTAGCCTATTTATTTTAATAGGTAGTAGGCTAAATATGTCAAGATTAAATCAAAACCAGGTTGCTTAGAGTTTATAAAAGATGGGTTTAATGACTGTACTGACTTGTTGCAACTGTGAAATGGTTATTGTTAATATACGTTTAAAATGCGTGTGCACGGTGGTCATATTATTGCGACTGCAGTTTGTTATATTATGTGTGGGCATATGCCATTGAACATATGAAAGGGTCATATATCTCCAAAATTAGTTTTAAATTAATAATTTAATATTTATGAGATTTTTATTTAAGTAATGTTCTAATTCTAGTTATTTATTTTGTAAATGCTGCATGCTTTTGACGTGGTTTAATCAATGGCCGTGCGCGTGAACTTTCGAGTCGCTTTCAAACACTGGAGTGGCGCAGAGTTGCCATGGAAACGGCGCGGGACCACTGCGACTGACAGGCAGCAAAACTCCTTCTCTCGCTGTTGTTTTCACTGCTTTCAGGTAAGATTAGTCTCTAAAAGTACACAAATAATACACACAACTGTTCTTGATTCTTCTCTTACTTGTAATTGACACGCTTTTGTTGAAAATTTACTTTATAACCATGGTTTAGTGTCTTCGGAAAAAGTCCGTTAGCATCTCAACCGTTTTCAGAAGAGGTTAAGCTAACGTTAACTCGGTTTAGCTTTTGTTTATGAAAGTTTGGGCTTTTAATCACCTCTTATGTGTAGATGAGAGTTTAGTAAAGGTGTTACTTGGAAGTGAGCTAATTTATTTAACATAAACGTTTGTAACGTTACTGTTAATCGGTGACGTCACTTACATGGAGCTTGAAAATTGGCTGAAACTAGCTGCTCAATGGTAAACAAATATTGATAAAAAAAATGTTCTGTGATTTCAGCAGCAACAAATTAACCCCTCTAAAACAGAAGGGAAGCTCCACGGCTTCAACATTTCTGAAGAAAGCTGCTGCCAGAGATGTAGGAAACACAGGTGAACCGAGGAAGCTCATTAAATAACTTCATATCCATTTTGTCACAATATTTTTCACCTGCTATATCATCATGCATCTGTAATTTTCTTATTTTTTTTAATTCTCAAATTTACATTTTTATTATTTTAAGAGGGTTTTGACATCCAAACGTAAGTGACACTGTATGAGCAATATTAAATGAATAAGCAAACCTAAAAACAAATTCTGTTACCTTAATTAAGAAATTATTTTCTCTATATTCTTTATATTCTTTCTCTTTTCTGCATTTCCCCTCTGCTGTAGCTTATTTCCTTTTAATAAACCTGGCATATTATACCAACCTGGTATAATAATATTGTTGGCTCTGTGACAAATGGTTTGTTGTGTTCCTAGATCCTTCAATGCTGATGCCCTGCACCGTAGCAGTTGTTGTCCTGATCATCATCTCTAAGACGCTATGAACCATATGACTAGTAAGTAAAACTTCAAACATGCACTAATGTCAAACATACACTAATGGTGTTGGTACAAATTTGAATGTTTTGAAAGAAATTTCTTATGTTCACCAAGACAGCATTAAAAACAATAATATTGTCAAATAATATTATTATTATTTTAATAGGTTAACTGTTTTCTATGTGAATATATTGTAAAATGTAATTAATTCCTGTGATCAAAGCTGAATTTTCCACATCACAGCTTCACATGATCCTTCAGAAATCATTATAATATGATGATTTGATGCTCAAGAAACATTTATGATTATTATCAGTGTTGAAAACAGTTGTGCTGCTTCATATTTTTGTGTTTTTCAGGATTATTTGATGAATAGAAAGTTAAAAAAAACAGCATTTATTTGAAACAGATATCCTTACTCTCTCTTTTGGTCATTTTATTGCATCCTTGCTGAATAAAAATATGAGTTTCTTTTTTTCCCCTTTTTTAAATATTATTGACCCCAAACTTTTGAACAGTAGTGTTAATTACTGTTTATATGTTTAGGGTCTATTTAACAATGAATCCTGGAAGGAAAAATAAATGGTTTAAATTGTTACAATGGTTTACACAAAAAACATTAATCAGCACTGTTTTCAACATTGATAATAATCAGAAATGTTTAGGGTGTTATCATTGTAAGAATGTATAGTATTCAAATATAAAAATGCTGACTCGTTAGTTCATGTTTTTTTTTATTAAAATCAGATTCTTTTCTATTAATTCAATAGAATTTGTGGGAATACCAATATGGTGGCTTCACTTTACATGACGTCACGAGCAATCAAGGCTGCGTTTCCCGATAACGTTGTCTCGGCACGCTACGAAGACTCTTAAGGTATAACTTAACTAAAGGTATACCATTTCTAGGCGTGTTCACGAACCATACCTTAGGAAGTTGCTTAAGATATACCTTATTACGTGCGATGTTACCAGGTGCTGTCGTGTCCTTGGCGATAGTGCTGAATTTGTTGATAACGATGGCTAGAGAATCAATTATTCACTCGTGCACTTTTTTTAACTTTTTTCCCAGCTTTTTTTTTCTTCTTCCAACTTGCTGTGACCCCCACTTTGAAAACCCCGGGCCTAGCCTACATATTTTAAAATTGTATCATATTTTACTGCCACAATAACGGCCTATTTCAAATGTTTACATGCTTTCTTCTTTCTCCTTTTTGTTCGCTCAGGTGGAGCTGTGATGAAATATTGTTCTTGTAAATACTTTCCAGCATTTCAGTAATAAAATTGTAGGCCTACATCGTACGTACGGTGCTCGGCAGTGATCAAAAAGGATTTAAACAGTGAAGTTTGAAGTGATCTCTTCTTGTAAACTTAGAGATTAAATTACTAACACGCACACGACCTTGGTGTTTGTCAGAAAAACAGTAGGTAATTTGGCCACAGATTTTTACGCGGGTTGGGTGAGAAAAAACACTGACATTATGGATTCGGACGGGAATAAAATCACAGACTTTCCCCTGTAAATGTTTAAAATACCGCATAAGCCCATGAGGAACAATTAGCGTCTGAATAGGACTTAGCTGACAGTATGCTTTCACTGGCCTTTGATAGCGCTCCGCACACAGCGCCGTCTTTTAGAACAACTATTCGCTGTATCGCTGCCATAGTTTGAGCAAACTCCCCACCACAATCATTCCCTTTAAATAGACTATTAAGACTTAAATGGTTTGCCAGCTGATGTACCTTTGGATAATGAAAAATCTAACAACAATTCAGTGTAATGACAATTTTATTCTTTGCATGAAAACACTTGAATTAGCCTAATTAAACACTGTCTGGGTGTATTAAAACTTAAGAATTATATTCCTATACTGCAACAGTGATAAGGTAAAGCTAAGAGTGGTCCAGACCAACCTTCCGAACGTATGACTTACAGAAGGTATACTTAACAATGAATGTTTCGGGAAACACGTATTAACGAAAAGGTACAGCTTAAGGTGTAACTTAAGAACGACGTAGCATTAAGAAGGTTTCGGGAAACTCAGCCCAAGTCATTTATAGATCAGTGAGTAGTGCCCAGCATATCAAAGTCCATTAAATGAGATTTCTCGCATTTTACCCCTAAAATCTGTAATAACTATGAAGGTAAAAGAGGAGCAAAACTCGAGAGCATGTAGATGTGAATAGAGAACTTGTACAATAAATACTTGTTGTATGCTTAAATTTACACACAACTCCAATGTGAAAACCTGTAAAATACAAATCTGAAGTTTAGGGTGTATTCACACCAGGAAAGTCCGATAGTTCACTTGCTTTGGTCCGGACCAAATACATTTATTTATTTATTTTTTTGGTACGGTTCGCTTTCACACTGCTCTTTTTGCAAGTGAACCAAAATTTGTCAACAAAACCACACGTGTGCTAAGGTCGTCCATTCATTGGACAAGGATTCTCAAGTAGGGAAATCAGGAAGTGCAAAAAAGGCTCAGCATGGAGATATTTCGTACTGCAATATTTGTTATTTGACTAATTTTGTGTTATTCTGTACAAACGCAATATGAAGAAACTGCGCAGAAGACGGATAAAGTATAAAGTTTTCATTCATAGAGAGGGGCTATGTTCACACATTCAAATAATGAGATTCTTATTGTATATACTGCTAACAAGTGCTGTCAATGTTAATGCTTGCGATTAAGTTTGTCCAGTTTAACGCAGCATCATCCTTGTATTACTAACTATCGTTACATTATATGAACTGCAAAAGCTTTTTTTGCATCTATGCGCGATTAGACTAAAGAGAACGCTCTGTATGTGAATGTCCTGATGCACACACTCATTCATTCATTCCATTCCAATGATGCACACACGACGCGCAGAAAGACGCGCAACAGTATCGTGTGGCCAGACAGCGCGCCGGAATGGAATTCTCTTTCGCACTTGAACAACAATAACACAAACCATTATGCCAAAATCTCCGACTACGGAAGCCTGTTAACTCAAAGGCGCAGTGGTTTCTTGCAATTGGGTCGGTTCATGTTCACACCGTAAACGAACCGTACCAGAGTTCGTTTGGAAGCGTACCGAGACCACCTCTTTAGCTGGGTCTCGGTTCGGTTGTTTGGTCCGCACCCGAGTTCGATTGCTGTATTCACACCTGCCCAAAATATCCGCACCAAGGGGGGAAACGAACTAGAGTTCGATTCAATCGAACCAAACAAGGCAGGTGTGAATACACCCTTAATGTTGAAATTTGCACTCGCAGACAATAGTCACAAACCTGTATTCTGAATTTGAAGCTGCAGACAAGTAGTCACAAATGTGCAAAATGCCATTCACAGAAATACAATGACAGACACAAACTTGTAGAACATAGTTGCACTTAGGAGTCGTTTTATTGGTTGGCGTCCATCCAATGAAATGGGACTTCTTTAGTACACGATGATGTCATGAAACCCATGTCCTCTGGGATGTTCTGAAACGGTAACGTGGCTAAATGCATTAGATAGTGATATTAAAAGAAATAAATTGTATTATCAAACTCAGCAAACACCATACTAATAAAGCCTACTATGTACAGAAAAGCAGATTAGCCCAGAATAAGAACGCAACATGTTTAATTACATGTTAAGCGTTTTCCTCCCATAGAAAACCAACGCTTAACGTGGCTTAATGCATTAAGACAGTAGTATTAAAAGATCAAACTCAGTAAACACTAGGGATGAGTCGCGATCTTCGAGTAGTCGAACTGCATTCGAAATTCGATCATAAAATTGCTTATTCGAATATCGTTATATTTTCGCGCAATTCCAATGTGACATAATTGACGGCGCGCCTATACTGTCACAGATCGCGCGGCAGGGTATTTTCCTGTCAGGGACACAAGTTGTCACTAACATGAATGAAACCCCCTCCTGCGCGATCTAGGATACCAGTGTTTTATACATAGTGTAAACAAACAACAGAAGAAGAGCATTGTCGTGACCGTTAACTCTGCGCCCAACAGAGGTGGGTAGTAGACTAACCCTTTACTGTCTATGGTAGTAGCTACCCGTCTATGGTAGTAACAAAGTAGGCTACATTTACTTACTACGTTGGGCGACGTTCCTCTCGTTACTTTATTTTAATGCAATACATGTTGTTAAATGCGTATTTTATTCCAAGCGCGCTGTGTCTTTTATGGGCATGAGCGATGCTCCATTCACAAATGAATCACTCTTTTGAGTCGATTCTGTTCAAAGACTTCAAACAAGTTGGCAGATCTGTCTAAATCGGTTCGCGAATCAGTTTGAATGATCTGCTCAGTTTCCTCACGCACTGAATCGTCTGAAGCGCTTTCAATTCACACTCGACATGGAGTCGTAACAGGAAGATTTAAGAACATCAGTGTTGGATGAAGTGGCCGTGGACCTACAGTACAGTCTAGTGAAAGCAAATCTGCAAATGCATCATATTAGATCTAGTTGAACATCTTCGTATGATGTCTGTGAATGAATGATTCCACAGGACGATACATTCTAGTTCATTTAATTCAGGTAATACATTTTCATAGCTGCCAACTCTCACGCATTGGCCGTGAGACACCCGCATTTGATTGGTTTCACACGCTCACACGCCACACTCCCGATTTCTCACGCTGAAGTGTCAACCCGGGCGGTCAAATGCCTGGAAGATGAGTTTATCTATATATCTACCTGTTGAGCCACTCGTGATCGACTAGTTATACCGCAAATTCGGTAAAAATCTCCCGTTATCTAGAGCGAGCGTGCATGCGAGACAGAGATTGTGCTCCAAACCGCGTAGAGCGAGCGAGAGACCTTGCGCGAGCGAGACCGAATCCCCCCCGCCCCCTCCCCCCCCCCCGTCAACAAATCTCACCCGTCGCTACCAACCCCCCCCCCCCCCCCCCCCGTCAACAAATCTCACCCGTCGCTACCCCCCAGCCCCCCCCCCCCCCCCCCCCGTCAACAAATCTCACGCCGAGCAAAACTCAAAAGTTGGCAGGTATGCATTTTACAACCAAACAGATTATTACTCGACGATATTACTACAAGTATGATGACATTATCCGTTTTTTTGGACATATACATTCATTTATAGGCTACATTAAATAAGCTACCATTGTCCACAGTTTATGAAATGAACACCCGCCATCCCGCGGTAATGTGTGTGTATTGCGCAGTGGCATCACACGAATGGTTTTGATTTAAACTAATTTGTTTAAAAAGTAGGTTTTTGCAGTAACAAGGCAGGTTTGCATAAAATCATTATGACATTTTTTTTTTTTTTTATCTAACTAGCATCTGGTTTGGCGATGCAAAAACGGACTGTCGTGCTTATTGTTTTTTATTCTATGTTAACTACCGGTATGTTAAAAAAAAAAAAAACGACGAAAACATGTTAATTGTTCGAATAATAAACAGTTTGTTTGATGACAAATCGCTAAAGATGAAATTGGCCTCCCTTTCTGTCATTGTGAGTGTGCGTTTTTTTTTGTTTGTTTTTTTATTTTCAAACGATAATCGACTTTTGCTCCTCGATTTTCGAATGTCATTTTTGGCAGAAATTCACATCCCTAGTAAACACCATACTAATAAAGCATACAGAAAACCAAATGAGCACAGAATATGAACGCAATGCGTTTAATTATACATTTAAAGTTTTCCTCCCATAGAAAACAGACTAAATGCTTAAGGCTTAATAACTAATAGTTATATAAAAAAAAAATGCGTTATACATTATTACTAAAACACAGGCAGCAAGTTTGGTGATTTGCAAAAACTTAATTTGTACTCATAGATTGTCATAAACACAGAGGGAGAACTATCCCAAAAAGGTATCTCTCGCAAGTCGCAACCATAAAGTGACACCTTGCACAGAATGCACACAAATTTGCTTTTTTTTGGCACTCTGGGCTCATGTTTTTTCTGAGTTTTGTCTTTTAATACCACTGTCTTAATGCGTTAAGCTAGTTAAGAGTTTTCTAACCGTTTTCTATGGGAGAAAAACGCTTAACTTTTTGGAGTTATCATTTATTTATTTTAATATCACTGTCTATGCGTTAAGCCACGTTAAGTCACGTTAGTCCCCAAGAACAAGTGTTTTGCGACATCATCTGCGAGTGCAAATCTCTAAATTCAATTTAAGATTTGTATTTTACAGTGTTTTCACATTGGAGCTGTGAGTGTTAATTTTAGCGTACAAGTACAAATATGTATTGTCCAAGTTCTCAAATTCAGGTTTTGCTACTCTTTTACCTTCATAATAACCTTCCTGATAATGTTGGGGGCTCAGACACACTCTCCCAGTTCAAATCTAGATTAAAGACACATCTCTTTAGCCAAGCATTCGATTAACACATCTCATAATATTGTTCTACAGTTAATATGTGATGAAATGGTAAAAAGTGCACATGATCATCTTTTGTCTGAAATAATATGAACTGCAGCTATGCTAATCTTTCTCCTGTTGCTTCCCTGTTTCTATCTCAGGATGCTCAACAAGTTTACTAGAGATTACGGCAGCTCCAGTTTGGATCCAGTCTCACTTGTGAAGACTTCAGATGACGGCATCTATAGATGAACATAAGGTGGGGTAAGCAATATTTCAAAAACGCTGTTTCAAAAACGCTCTTCAATACTCCACTTCCAAAACTCACCAGATTGCTCAGCAGCCGCATCACATTATTGGTGTAAATAACTAATTTCTGTAATTGAAATGCTGAACACGCGGTGTGGTGCGCTCGTTTTTCCAGGCGCGCCTTTGCCACGGCGAAATTAAAACATCTCAACTTTTCAGAATGCCGCAAGCGCACCGCAGATCATGTGACAAAAACCAACCGTTCAGCTTTGGCCATGGAAAGCTCGGCCGGTGTGGTGAAGTGTTGAGTCCCACTGAAGTAGGGTTGCCAACTGTCCCGAATTAGCCGGGACGTCCCGATTTTTGGGGCTAATTTATTTGTCCCGATCGGGACCTCTCTTGTCCCGATTATTGAGTGCTACGCTGATCTGACTGATACAACAGCAACACGACACGTAAATTAATTAGTTCAAATCTCCTAGAATCTAGAGCTGCGCATGCGAGACAGAACATAGCCTACTGTATGTGCGTCAGCGCCAAACCGTTTAGCACGGAGAGAGAGGGAGAGAGCGAGAGACCTTGCCTGCGAGATATGAATGGATTCGAAAACGGTAAAACCCAACTGTTTAACTCTGGGATAGTTGTAAAATTATCCTATTTCCAAAAAAAGTGGAGTATCCCTTTAAGGTTTTCTTTCAGTTGAAAACATTAAACAATATGTCTAAACAAAAAATGTAAAGAAGCATTTAAGATCAATCAGTACGAAAGGGAAAAAACGTGAATAAAACAGACACTTATCGTACAGAACGTAGGTATACACTTGAGTCAACATACTATTTATCTTGTTTATATTGTTTCACTTTCATGTTGAGAAAAACAATTTTCACATGCTCGAGTAGAAAACGCGCTGCTGCTGACAGACTTTGCAGGGACAGATAACAAAGTTTCTAACAGCACTTCGCGTTTTCTGTTAAAGAGCATATTGCAGTTAAAAAAAAAAAAATCTAAATTAATATATAACCTTGAATGAAAATACCATATGAAAAGGTAATGCAGGATTTAAAATGTTTTAAAACGACATAAGGGCACAAATTTAGTAGATAAAGTGAGCGTTTCTTTGACTGCTCGTAAAAAAACGCTTTTTTTTCAACATCGCGTCATTTTACGTCACGAGAGGGAGGGAGCCTCAGCAGCGCAGATAGGTTTCTATTCAGTAAGAGCGGGTAAATTTGCTTTTTTATACTCAGAATGACAATTTGGAATGTAAAGAACAACATATTATACAGTTATTTGTTTTATTAGGAAAATACCATATACATAAAAAGAATTGGGCTTTTTTTTCCACATTTTATAAATGACTTCACATTATATGTACATCTTTTGGAACAAACTAAAAACAAAAAAGCAATATTAATGAGCATGACATACGCGCCTGATCAAAGCTTATAGTTTCTGTTATCGGTAAATTCCAATACTCCTAGATGACCAATAATAGCTTTGCTATTAACTGATTTATGATGGTAATAATCTGTACAATATTGTGAGCACAATGTATATCGTTAGCGAACGTGTATAGGCTAACGTTATATCTATAAGCTAGCATTGGTCTCTCACCACGACAACTGCCGTTCTCAGTGGCGGCGTTTCACAAACCTAGAGAATTCCCCATTACTCTGTGCATGTAGAACAACGACATTATCGAATGATATACTCCTCACATTTTATCAAACAGAATGAACGATGCACTATTAACTCTATTACACTATTAATTAAAACTCACAGTGAACAGCATTAAATATAAAAACACATGCCGTACCTTTTTGTCGCAGTCCAGTTTTTATTGCAAGTGGTATAATGATTTGCCGACAGCACGACAGTCCTCATTTTTTTATTGCTGCTTCCATTCTCCTGATTGCTATTATTTAATTTTTTCGTTAAAAAAACATCCAGGGAAGATTGAATAGGCCTGTTCTTTTAATGTTTACTCAGTATCTGACAGCTAGGCTAATCAAAAAGACGCGATTAAGTGATGCAATAAACTGCGGCTGCGCACACTCACTCCACACAAGTTTTTTTATAATAATACTTCTGCAATAATGTGTGTCTCCTCTGAGCGTTGTTCTGTCTAACATTAATCCTGGCCTGTCCCTGCTCTCTCTGCAGCCAATTAGGCTCATAATTGTATGGCTGTGGTCCGTGGTCCGTCATACGAGTAAGTCTGAAATGTCATTGCGATCCATTGTTTTCCTGCTGTTTGAATCGACCGCTCTCCCTCCTGTTACCTCACGCCCGTCACGCCCATTTTCAGATGCGGAAGTAACATTTTCTCACAAAAACGACTCCAGAAGCCAATGTAACGTACTTATAAGTATATTTGAAAGAAAATCTAGTTACTACATTGTTTTTCTATACATTGACTCGTTGGATCTTCTAACCTACAATGTCCATTAAGGAAACAGTTAAAACATATTTATTGATGGATTTGTTTCTTAAAGCAAAGACCTAACTGCTTTTCCCCACTGTTTTCACTCTGTTACAGGCTGCCAGGAAGAATCCGTCTCTACTGTGGATGTACATTGTTGCTGTTCCGTTTTTATCCCTTTTCTCCTGGAGTTCTTTCTGTTGTCATTAAACTATCTTAACTTGAATTGTGTCTGTTCATTATAGAGACAGTTACACACACAAAATTAAGAAGATATTTTTCAATGTCAGTATAGCCTACTTTTTTTCATATTAGATAGTCAAGTAGTCCCAGTGCTGTATATCACTATAGACATTGAGGGGGAGAAGTTCTATAACTATACATCAATAATAATAAATACAATAATATGTCAATAATTAGAAATTGCCAAACTGTTCCCCCAATGTTGGAAATTCTTGCTCTGCTTTGTTTTTAGGATGACAAAAAGGTTTAAAAGTTACACTTTAGGCTACTTTAGGCTGGTCTATCCAAATAGATAGCCAATAAAATCAAAGTAGGTGGGGTTTCCTGTTTACAGAAGCAGAGCACGTTATTCCATCAGTTTAACATTGAAAGAGTGCAAGCACTGCGAGGTGAAATGAAAGTTGCAAATCATTTAATATTAGTCAACTGTTTTATGATAGAAACGATAAATGCCTGACAGTTATGTCCAGTGATGCAAACTACTCGACTTTTTCTTCTTGAATATGGCCATTTTGAGGGATGAAAGTTGCATGTGTTCAGTATCGATTCTATTTTATTAATGAAAGTCGCGGGGGCAGCGATGACTAGTTTCTGTGATCCTGAGTGTGCAGCGCGATCTCCGCTCTCTGTCTGCGTGCAAATTGTGTGTGTGTGTGTGTGTGTCTGTCTGTTCGAGCGTGCTTCAATGAAAGCAGCGCATGGTGTCTAATGTAAAGGAGTAACGTTAGCCAGAAAGGTTCGACCTAAATAAATAAAGGTCCTATAAAGCCCATGCAGAGCGGCCGGGATTTACAGCTTTGCGTCGGTCAAACATCGGCCGAAGATCATTTGCGATCATATGCCGACGTTGCGGCGACATATTGCCGATTAGCAAACGCTCTCTGAGCGACATCGTGCCGATGGAACTTTGTACATCGGGCCGACATCGGCCAGACGTACGTGTGCTATCTGGGCAGTTGTGTTTATTTAAATTCCATTTCCCACTGGTTTCAGCGATATTGATAGTTACAACATTTTTTTTCTTTTTCTGAAATACTGTGGAAATTGTTTCAAGTTTGTTTTGTTCTGTTTATTATATCTCATATGAAGGTTTTATTTTTATTTATTTTTTTACAGAAAGTTAGAGGAAGACAACGTGTTGTTGCTTCCACTGACTAACTGCAAGAACCTCACAGTCTGACATAAGCATGATATAAAACTTAATCTGTTCATTTTCAGCAGGATAAAAAAATCCCAGAGCGAACATACAGTAGGGTCATTATGGGGATGTTTAATTGTGATATTTAGAGATGGGCTGATGGAATTGTCCCTGAAAATATGAAAAAGAATTTGCTTTATATTAGTTTTAACAGCTATCTATAGTGCAAACCATAGCTGCAAATTACTCATCTATGCCTTTTTTTTTATTTCTGTACACGAATGTGGTTTGATCGCTTCACTTTTAGAAAAAAGTTATAAAAGCTGCATGTCTTTGGGGCGGAACCCTTTCAAAAGGTACATATTTGTACCTAAAGAGGGCAGATTAGTACACTAACATTATTTAATATTTTGATTATTTAATTGATGTGCAGATATGAAACAAAAGCTGTGGAAATATTAAATATGAAAACTGTTGAAATATTGTAAATTATCAGTCTATACAGTATAGGCCTATATATAAAAAAATTCCCCTTGCACTGGGATTGCAATATTTTTTAGACAATTTATTTTTATCGCTAAAGTGCCTTAAAGTTGAACTCACACAAAACACTATTTTCTTGAAAAGGACGTAAACTTTGTATGTTCATCAGACAAATGCTATTAAAAGATCAGATTTTCTCATTACAGATCAAATACAAATTTTCTTGCCACTAAATGATTTGTTAGTTTGTAATATAACTGAACTAAGCTATGATTAAGTCATGATTTGAGTGATTGTTATTGTTTACATCTAAACACCGCTGCAGTAAACTTTCACTTTTTTTGGAATGGTGAATTCTGACTCTAGATGGCGCACTACAAACCAGCTCGTCATGCAGATTGATACTGCAAACTGGCATTTCTGTAATCAATCATGTAAACAGCTCAGACGATTTATACACAAACTGTGCATTGTTTTGAAAATGTGAACAGTTCATGCTTAACATTAAAACTGTATTACCTTTTCAAAATAATCCATTAATCCAAATCAGTGATCATTCACCCGAATGACAATCACGACAGACTATAATATTTGAAAGTAGTGGCACCAGCGCCAGCAACTTTTTTTTCCCGCCAGCAACTTTTACAGATGAAGCAACTTTTAGCAGAAGCTTGAACTTAAATGGGATGTAAATTTAATTTAATTTTATTAACAAAAACAGTAGCTGTAAACCCCAGTAAAAAATGGCCTGATAAATAATTGTCTTAGGGGGTTAGATAAAAGTAGATCTAACATAATTTGAATTACTTAAAACATAAAGGCTAAACATTCACATCAATGATATAGGCCTTCGCCCCCTTGCTGCTCCTCCTCCTGTCATTTGTTCTCGTTGTTTCTCCCATTTGAACATTTGTCAAACTTCCTGTTTTCTTGTATATCAGGGACAAGGAAAGGTGAAGCAGTCTTTATTCAGTACTGTAACAGCTTTGCATAGTTGTATAAGGATAATATAGCTGTTTCCACCCACCTATTTTATGTGGAACTTTTTGGAATCTCACATACAAAAATGTTGTTTGATGTAAACCCCAAGATGCGTATAAATTCTACAAATGCGCAATTGAGTCAGATACATTTTTTTATCCGATTACAGAACGTGCATGAAATGTGATGGAAACACATTAAAAGGTGAACTAAGTAACTTTTTTACCTTAACCGAACAGCTTTGGAGTCATTGTAATGTTTATATTACTGATTTCGTGTTGAATGGTGGTCGTCTCGCACCGCCCTGGTGCCTGTGAGCTGAAAAACCACCCTTACAACTTTGGGCCGGCGAGCCGTGTTAGGAAGTGTTAGGAAGTGTTAGGAAGTATCGTGTGATATCAGGTCTCGCGAGGTAACGAATTGCTTTACGGCAAAAAACAGATCTGATAAAATTCTGATAAAATTCTGATTCCTTTTTTCCACTCCTTACAGCGTTACACTTGTCGTTTCGTTATTGACAGCCGGTGGCGGAGGCTTGATCGAATCACTTGTCATTTCGTTATTGACAGCCGGTGGCGGAGACTTGATCGAATCACTTGTTGTTTCGTTATTGACAGCCGGTGGCGGAGACTTGATCGAATCACTTGTTGTTTCGTTATTTACAGCCGGTGGCGGAGACTTGTTCGGATCACTTGTCGTTTCGTTATTGACAGCCAGTGGCGGAGGCTTGATCGAATCACTTGTCGTTTCGTTATTGACAGCCAGTGGCAGAGGCTTGATCGAATCACTTGTCATTTCGTTATTGACAGCCGGTGGCGGAGGCTTGATCGAATCACTTGTCATTTCGTTATTGACAGCCGGTGGCGGAGACTTGATCGAATCACTTGTTGTTTCGTTATTGACAGCCGGTGGCGGAGACTTGATCGAATCACTTGTTGTTTCGTTATTTACAGCCGGTGGCGGAGACTTGTTCGGATCACTTGTCGTTTCGTTATTGACAGCCAGTGGCGGAGGCTTGATCGAATCACTTGTCGTTTCGTTATTGACAGCCAGTGGCAGAGGCTTGATCGAATCACTTGTCATTTCGTTATTGACAGCCGGTGGCGGAGACTTGATCGGATCACTTGTCGTTTCGTTATTGACAGCCAGTGGCAGAGGCTTGATCGAATCACTTGTCGTTTCGTTATTGACAGCCGGTGGCGGAGGCTTGATCGAATCACTTGTCATTTCGTTATTGACAGCCGGTGGCAGAGGCTTGATCGAATCACTTGTCATTTCGTTATTGACAGCCGGTGGCGGAGACTTGATCGAATCACTTGTCGTTTCGTTATTGACAGCCGGTGGCGGAGGCTTGATCGGATCACTTGTCGTTTCGTTATTGACAGCCGGTGGCGGAGACTTGATCGAATCACTTGTCGTTTCGTTATTGACAGCCGGTGGCGGAGACTTGTTCGGAACACTTGTCGTTTCGTTATTGACAGCCGGTGGCGGAGGCTTGTTCGGATCACTTGTCGTTTCGTTATTGACAGCCGGTGGCAGAGGCTTGTTCGGAACACTTGTCGTTTCGTTATTGACAGCCGGTGGCGGAGACTTGTTCGGAACACTTGTCGTTTCGTTATTGACAGCCGGTGGCGGAGACTTGTTCGGAACACTTGTCGTTTCGTTATTGACAGCCAGTGGCGGAGGCTTGATCGAATCACTTGTCGTTTCGTTATTGACAGCCGGTGGCAGAGGCTTGTTCGGAACACTTGTCGTTTCGTTATTGACAGCCGGTGGCGGAGACTTCTTCGGATCACTTGTCGTTTCGTTATTGACAGCCGGTAGCGGAGACTTGTTCGGATCACTTGTCGTTTCGTTATTGACAGCCGGTGGCAGAGGCTTGATCGAATCACTTGTTGTTTCGTTATTGACAGCCGGTGGCAGAGGCTTGTTTGGAACACTTGTCGTTTCGTTATTGACAGCCGGTGGCGGAGACTTGTTCGGATCACTTGTCATTTCGTTATTTACAGCCGGTGGCGGAGACTTGATCGAATCACTTGTCATTTCGTTATTGACAGCCGGTGGCGGAGACTTGATCGAATCACTTGTTGTTTCGTTATTGACAGCCGGTGGCGGAGGCTTGTTCGGAACACTTGCCGTTTCGTTATTGACAGCCGGTGGCGGAGACTTGATCGGATCACTTGTCGTTTCGTTATTGACAGCCGGTGGCGGAGACTTGTTCGGATCACTTGTCGTTTCGTTATTGACAGCCGGTGGCGGAGACTTGATCGGATCACTTGTCGTTTCGTTATTGACAGCCGGTGGCGGAGGCTTGATCGGATCACTTGTCGTTTCGTTATTGACAGCCAGTGGCGGAGACTTGATCGGATCACTTGTCGTTT